ATTGGTTTCTTGATTGACACTATTAAGGCTAAAGGTATTTTAGTTTCTGAATTTTGTGTGGGTTTCTCTTGGGTTGATTTGGGCTTATTTATGTTGTAATTGTAGTGAGTAAATTGAAGCAACGAGCTGAGTCTCAATCCTTGATTGACCGTTTGTACAAGTTGAGCGCTGAAGAGAGGTCATTCATCAAATTGACCCAACCTCAGGTGGTTGTCCATATTGAGAATTTGGACGAATTTGGATCTGACAAAGAAATTGCCCCTGCCATGCAGTGTTTCCAGTCCTGCCTAGGGGTGCTAGGTAAGGTGTCAGAGTTCACGAAGACCTTTAACTTCATGTAGAAGGAGCGGGATTCCTTGTCAGACAGGCTTAAAGCAACATCTGACACTCGGAAGGGGGAACGAGCTAAGCATAAGGATTGTCGTGTTGAGCTTGATCTGTTGAAAGGTACCCTAAAGTCTGCTGCAAATGAATCCCTTGATGTGGCCAGCTACTATCTTGGAAAGGCTCGTTTGGAGACCATGTAGGAGTACCAGCAGGGTAAGCATGAGGCTTGGGATTATGATGCTGAGAAGGCTGCTTTTGAGAATTCTTTTCCTGATGAAACTGCTGCTCCGGGCTCACTTCTTCTGAGTTATGTTGATGAACAGGTGAACTTCCCGGTGAACGAAAATGTCAAGGCTGTCCTTAAGGAAGAGAAGGTCCCTGATGACGAGATAGGAGAGAATTAGCCTTGCAATGTTGTTTCCTTAGTATTTTCTGAACAATTTGCTTTTAATTTTAAGTATTTGTAATATTGCTGCCTAAGTGCAGTTGGATGTTTTTTCTTTTGGCTTTTTGCTGCCTTAGTGCATCTGGATGCTTTGTTTTTTTTGTTGTCTTGTGCAACTAAGTAATTTTATGCTTTCATGTTTGTCATTCTTGCTGTTTGTGTTGCTTTTCAATGTATCCTAGTTATACTAGAGTTGTATTACAATTGTAGTGCAACTGGGATGTAGTATTGCTTACATGTCTTCCCTGCTGTAGTTAGGGGTTATATGTCACTTGCTCAGAAGGGAAGTTTTTGTGTGTTTCGGTTCTTTATCTCGTGGTTGTATTTCTTGTAAAACAGGAAAAGGTCTGGGGTGACCGTGGGTTTCCCTAACTGCCTCCGATGCTTAAGTCAGTACTCGTAGTTCAAATGAACGTAATTGACTTAGTGTTGGGATAAGAGAACGTACCTTTCCGTGCTGTGGCTAGAACTGCTTCTTAGGTAGGAGTCCTTTCTGAGAAATGCTTATTTAGAAATACAAAGGGAGAGATTCTATACCTTTCTCGAATCTTGGTTGTTTGTAGTCAGGTTTTTGCATACCTTAGAAATGGTAGAGCATCAAGTGTGTCACATTCCAGCTTCGTTGGACTTTTTTCCTTTCTGCATTTCGTAGTCTGTACGCTCCATTTCCTACTACCTTTGTGATCTCGTATAGTCCTTCCCAGTTAGGTGCTAACTTTCCAGCGTTCACTTCTCTTGTGTTTTTGTATACTTTCCTGAGGACCCAATCGCCTACCTTGAAGATCTTGACTCTTACGTTCTTGTTAAAACTCCTTGCGACTTCTTGCTGATAGGCTGCCATCCTCATCTTGGCGTCGTCTCTGATTTCTTCAATAGTATCCAGGTTGTATGCTACCTCCGATTTATTTCTATCTTCTATCATTAGTACATACCTTGCAGTTGTGATTTCTACCTTTGTGAGGATTACTACTTCACAACCGTACACTAGTGAGAATGGTGTATGGCCTGTTGCGCCTTTCAGTATTGTTTTATCTGCCCACAGTATGTTGGGTAGTTCATCTGCTCATTTCCTCTTTGCATCTTCTAATCTCTTCTTCATGTTATTGATGAAAATTTTGTTACTTGACTCTGCTTACCCATTTGCATGAGGGTACCTTGTTGTGGACGTAATGAGTGATATGTTCCATTCTTTGCAAAATTTTATGGTTTTATTGCTAATGAACTGGGACCCGTTGTCTGTGATGATTTCTGATGGTACGCCAAATTTTCTTAGTATATTCCTTTTGATGAATGAATTGACATGTTTACCTTTGATGTCCTTGTATGCCTCAGCTTCTATCCATTTCGAGAAGTAATCAGTCATTGCTAGAAAATACACTCGTTGCCCTGACAAAGGAGGTAGTTTGACTATATTCATTCCCCATTTCATAAATGGCCAAGGTGTCAATGTTGGATGTAGCTCTTTAGATGGTTGGTGAGTCAATGGTACGTGTTTCTTACATGCTAGGCATTTCTTGGTGAACTCTGTTGCGTCCTTTTTCATACTGGGCCAGTAATACCCCATTCTAAGGGCTCTGTTGGCTAAGTTTCTTCATCCTGAATGATTTTCGCACTCCCCACCGTGTAATGACTGCAAGACCTGTTGCACTTTTTGCTTCTATAAACACATCAAGTATGGACTAGGTGCTAACTTCTTAAAGAATACGTTGTTGATTAGACAGTATTTGGATGCTTTCATGATGAATGCATGCGCTGCCACTTTCCCTTTCGGTGCTACCTTGTCAGTGAGAAATTCTTTGAAAGGTTTTATTCAGCTGTCTTCCTCATTAGTGAGGTTTTCTTGTACTTTGTAGACATTCATGGTTGATTCCTTCTCTATGGCTGGAGACATGACATGTACTAGTGGTATAGCTCCGAACTCATCAAGATTGATGTTGGATCTAAGGTTGGCTAGTGCATCCGCCTCGGTGTTTAAGTTTCTGGGTACTTGTGCAATTTTGAATTCCTCGAATTCCTTTATGAGGTTTCTTACTAACTCCAGGTATCAACCATCTTGGCATCCTTTGATGCATATTCACCATTAATTTGATTTAAAATGAGTAAGGAGTCAAAGATTACCTCTAGGTGCTTTATCCTCATGTCTTTGGCAACGGTCAGCCCTGGGATTAATGCTTCGTACTCTGCCTCATTGTTGGTTGCTTTGAAATTGCACCTTACTGCCTGGGCAATTTTGTCTCCTTGAGGGGATGTTAACACTATTCCCAAGCCTACACCACGTATATTTGCTGCACCATCTGTGTGGAGTCTCCATTTTTGCGCGACTTTAGGTTCTTGGAGGGATAACACTTCTTTTTGTGCTTGTTGCTCAAGGGCTAGACTAAAATCTGCCACAAAGTCTAACCAAAGCCTATGACTTGATTGCCATCCTGGGTTCATACTGAATGTCATACTTACTAAGATGGATCATCCATTCTCCATCCTTCCTGACATTTCTGGTTTTCTCATGATAGCCTTAATAGGATAATTAGTACGCACATGTATAACATGACTTTCAAAGTATGGGCGTAATTTAACTGAAGTAGTTACTAAGGCTAAGATATTTTTTCTAAGAAAGCGTACCTAGTTTTCGCACTAAGTAAGGTTTTACATACGTAATAGATTGGAAACTGCTCCTTGTCTTCTTCTCTAGTGAGGACTGCACTGATCGTACCCTCTAATACTACTAAGTATAGTTGGAGTGGCTCTTCTTCTTTTGGCTTGGTAAGTATCAAAGGATTGGCCAAGTATTCCTTTATCTTCTGAAATGCTTCTGAAATGCTCTTGTTCCTACTTGAATTCTTTGTTCTTCTTCAGCACGTCGTAGAAGACTTTGTTCTTGTCTGATAACTTGGAAATGAACCTGTTTAGTGATGTTATTCGTCCTGTAAGGCTTTGAATATCCTTCTTGGACTTTGGTCATTATAAGTCGAGTATAACATTGACTTGGTCTGGACTGGCTTCTATTCCTCATTATGTTAAAATGTAGCCTAGGAATTTTCCTGACTGTGCTCCAAACATGCACTTGGTAGGGTTCAACTTCACGCCGTACTGTTTTAAGATGGAGAAGGCTTCTTTGAGGTCTTTGACATGATCTGCTGCTTTCTTGGACTTCACCACCATATCATCTATGTACACTTCCATTGTGTTTCTGATTTTCTTTTCGAATATCTTGTTGACTAGTCTCTTGTATGTTGCTCCAGCATTCTTCAGTCTGAAAGGCATTACTTTGTAGCAATATAATATATTCCTTGGCTAGTTATGAAGGTTGTCTTTTCTTGGTCATCTTTGTGCATTAGAATCTGATTGTACCCTCTGTATGCATCCATGAAGGAAAGTAGTTCGTGCCCAGCTGTAGCATCCACCATGGCGTCGATATGAGGTAGTGGGAATGGATCCTTTGGGCAGGCCTTATTGATGTCTGTGAAATCGATACATATTCTCCATTTCCCATTCTTCTTTCTGACCACTACTACGTTAGCTAGCCAGTCTAGATATTTAACCTCTCTGATTTTTCCGGTTTTGAGCAAATTCTGTACTTCTTCATAAATCACTTTGTTCCTTTCTGGTGCAAATTTCTTCTCTTCTGCTTTACTGGTACATGTTTCGGGTCCACGTATAGCTTGTGTGAAATAACTTCTGGGGGAATTCCCTTCATGTCTTCATGTGTCCATGCAAATGCATCCTTCTCTACTTCCAAGCATTCTAAGACTTGCTGACTAAGGTCTTTACTCAATTCTGCTCTTATTCGTACTTTTTGGTCTGGATGGTCTAGATTCAACTGGACCTCTGTTGCTTCTTGTTCTTCTGCTATGCTGATCTTTTCTTGGCCCAACTGAATCTCTAATTGCTATGCTGATTCTTTCTATGCAGATGCTGCTTTCAAGGCTATTTTGTGGCATTCTTTGGCTTCTTTTAGATCTCCCTTGATTTCTTAGATTCCCCATTTGGTGGGAAACTTGATGATCTGATGGTATGTAAATGGGATGGCCTTCATTTCATGTATCCAGGGTCTGCCTAGAATCATGTTGTAAGACGACAGAGTATCGGTTACCAGAAATTTTACTTGCAGATTAATCCCTTTTGCGTAGGTAGGCAATGTAATTTCTCCAATTGTTTTCTTAGTTTCTCCACTAAGTCCGACCAGCATTGTTGACTTGTTGATGATATTTTTTTCGTTAATATTCATATGTTACACTATATCGAGCATAATGATGTTTGCTGAACTTCCGTTGTTAACTAAGATCTTCTTGATCAAGCAATTTCCAACTGGGAGCGAAATTACTAGGCCATCATGGTGCCCTTCTACTGCATCACTTTCTTCAAACATGATTGGAATATCAATTTTTTCTTGTGCTTTCTTTGCTGGCTTGTCTATGTTGCTTTCTTTGGCATGGCACTTCGCTTTTGAGTACGTCAGGCCGCACACTTCTGACCCTCTAGATATGAAACAAATAGTCTTGACAATTGGAGGAGGAGGTGGGGGGCCACCTTGATTGGAGACTCTTTCTCTGTTTGGGGCTTTGGACCTATCTGTCATGAGCTCCTTGAGATATCCCTTCTTTAGTAGGTAGGCAACGTCCTTTCTGAGCGCCACACATTCATTAGTAGTGTGGCCAATATCTGAATAGAAGTCACACCACCTTGACGGATCTTTCTTCTCTCCTGGTATATCACTCTTTCTGGGCCATTGTACAGTATCTCCCATTTTGTTTAAGGTCCTTATCACACCTACAAGGTTAACATTGAAACAATATTCATGCAATTTAGGGGGGAGTTTAGGATCTTCCCTCCAATCTGTGAATTCTCCCTCTACAACATTGATAGTTCCTTCTTCAAAGCGGGGTCGCCGATAAGGATTGAATCTATGATCCCTTCTGGGAGAGCTATTGTTCCTTCTTGCTGAAAGATTTGGCTCAAGAGTCTTTCTTGCGTAGACATCTTCTTCAAACCTGACTTGGGCAATTGCTTTGGCTTGGACATCCTCAAAGGTTGTGCAGGGGTACTTAGTCAGTTCCTTATAGAGCTCGCTTTGGTCTAGCAATCCTCTTCTGAATGCTTCGACGGTTATAGGAGCATCGAATTTGTGTATCCCAATCTTCTCCCTGTTGAACCTGTTAAGATAATCCCTCAAGGATTCTCCATGCCTTTGCACAACTCTGTACAGATCTGAAGATTTTTTCTCGATCTTCTTACTGCTAGTAAATTGGATCTTGAATAGGTTAACCATTCCTGCAAAAGATCGATAGTCCCATTATCTAAATTAATGAACCAAGTCAGAGCTGAACCTGATAAGGTGGCTCCAAAGCCTTTGCACCTAATTGCCTCCCTGATGTCTCTAGGGATTGAGTTTTTCATCATCTTCTGCTTGTAAAAGGATACGTGCTCATCAGGGTCTGATGTTCCGTCGTACATGGCCATACTGGGCATACTGAATCTCTTCACCACTTCCACCATGGCGATCTAATCTGAGAAGGGTGACTCTATGTAGCCATCTGCGGCTTCTTCCTCCATGGACTTTGGCAATCTAGGGATTTTTTTAATCTTGGCCTCGAACGCCTTGAGGTATTCTTTGACCACCTTTTTTCTATATTTCCCTCCTCAGTTCCTGCCTGCATACTTTTCTGGAAAGTACCTGCATCAATTAAACCTTCATCTAGGGTTGTATCCCTGTTGTTAGAACCTTTTTTCTGATTAGTGCCATTTATGGCACTCAAATAACATTATTTTTGAATGAATTTATTTTCTTTTATAGCTTTCTTTGTGCCTTTTTCCTTAGCTTTAGTCTTTTATTCTATAGTTGCTCTCATTTTGGTTATTTCTCCCTTTTTTCTTGTATCTTCGTAGTTTTTATTGTCATTTCCCTTTTACTTGGTTGCTTTTCTTTATTTTCAGAAGAAAGGTGGAGTCCAAGGCCCTTCCTGGTGATTCCTCGGGATAAACATGCTTAAGTTGCAACGTAGATGCTCTCTTATGGCTCACAGAGCAAGGGATGGCTTACTCCAAGACTTGATGCTTCCGCCCTCATGCTGCGTCCTCATGAAAGTATGGTGTTGAACCTACCTTAAACTCATTTCGGGACTGCCATCCCTAATGACGATAAAGAGGAGCGCATCTCTTGCATTGATGGACGCACGGAGGAGATCCCCTACTCCAAGGGCTCGGGCACGCAGGCGTGAGGCGCGGGAGCGCCACCTGAGTCCCCAGTTCCGTACCCTTTTCTTCGCGGCCGCGCATTCCGGAGTGAGAGCGCGCCTGTACGGGTTTCTTTTGGACGTCCACTTAATTTCTCCTTAGTTAGTTATTCTAGAGGAGAGGATGGATAGAATCAATTAGAGAGAGAAAGTTCTTAGATTTTAGAGAGAGAAACTTAAGAGAATTGGATGATTTTTACATTTGATTTCCTTCTACTTTGAATTCAAATACAATTCCTTTGTTTTGATCAAAGTTTGAAAGAATCTTCTTCTTCTTAATTCGATCTTTTGCACTTGATTTTGATCATTTGTTGCATTTTCAAGTTTATTGATTGATTTGATTCTGAATAGTTTGATTGCAATGATGATGATGATTTTGCTGATTAGTTTAGTTTTGTTCTTCATTTCCAGCATGCTTAGTGAGTAGATTCCTTTCTAGGGTGATGGTGAAGCATGCATGAATGATGGATCATTGCTAATTGTTGGATTTTATTGATTGAATGATGTGATTAAATTGGTTGATAGGATTGTGCATGTGTTTGAATTGTTAAGTAGCTAACCATGATTTTTAAGCTAGATTGCATTGTGAATGACACGAACCATTGATTTAGGGATTACTTTTATCGATTGAATTTGATTTGTGATTCTTCTTGTTAGTCATTCATAGAGGAAACCTAGCTTAATTTTTAGGAGATAACCTATTGGATTCTCTTGATAGCAATTACTATTTTCCTTTGCAACATTTGATTGATTGATTTTCCTTCAATTAGCATAACTATCATGATTTTATGTGGATCCTAATCCCTAGTGCTTTATTATATTGATTTTAATCCAATTTTTCTTTGTTTGATTAGCTCATTTGACTACACATTCACATACTCTTCAAAGTAGCTTAACGCATAGACTATAGTGATTGACCCCCCATTCCTCGTGGATCAACCCTCGACTTACCCTATACTCGGTTTAGGTTTGGTTGAGTGTTATAAATTTTGTTGATAAGGTTTTAAGCATTTAACGACGTGTTTAGACCCTTTATCAAATTGGCGTAGTTGTTTTCTATAGTTATTAAGTCTATTTCATTTTATTTGAAAAACACATACTGATTTTTCCCTTTTTGGCTACTTACGTAGCCGTGCTACTAATATTTTCTTTTGAGATTGTATGCATAGAGCATGTGGTCGTTCTTTAGTGCCATTTGATACGGAAATAGAGAGGACAATTTCACAGATAAGAGTTGCTAGCCGGTCTTTGAGTTCTAGCCCTCCAAGTGAAGGAGTACCACAAGAAGAAGAACAAGAAAGCATGGGAGCAAATTGAAGAGTGGCATTGAGGGAATTGGGAATTCCGGGTGCATATAGGTTCGAGAGCGGGATTGCTCCACCTACAACTACAGCGAATGATTTTGAAATTAGACCGGCAATGATCACTTTGATAGAGAGGCGACAATTTAGTGGGGCCAAGCATGAGAGTCCTCTAAATCACCTCAAAGAATTTTAGAAGTATCGCAACATTATCAAAGTGAATGGGGTTTCTCGAGAATTCATCCGCCTTAAGCTTTTCCCCTTTTCTCTTATAGGGAATTCCTTGGAATGGTTTGATAAAGAAGTCAAGCCGAACTCATTAAGGACATGGGATGAGGTTACTAAGGAATTTATATCCCGGTTTTACTCCCAAAAGAAAACGGCAGAGGCAAGAGCACTTATCCAAAGTTTCAAGCAAAGATCCAAAGAAAGCCTCTATGAAGCTTAGGAAAGGTACAAGGATTATCAAAGAGATTATCCTCACCATGGAATTCCTACCTACCAAATCATTCAAATCTTTGATGGTGGTCTAAGCCCTCAAGGTAAGTCTTGTCTTGATGCGGGAGCCGGAGGACCCATCATGAACAAAACGGAAGAAGTTGTGGATATCATTGAAGATGTAGTGAGGCATTATATGGATTGACAAGACGGTGAGCGAGAATCAACAAGCAAGAGTGGCTCTACGGTCTACTTGGTTGATCACCTCAATGCCATCAACAACTTATCCTCACAAATCTCAAATCTAGTGAAGGAGATGACTTCCATCAAGGCCAAATTGGAGAGTGCTTCATCTCTAACACCTACTCTTCCCTCCCAAAATAAGGGGAGACGTACATCTTCCAACTCTATTCATCTTTCTACTTCTAATAACATACCTAGTGGATGCTTGTTTTGTGATATATGTGGTTCATATGAGCATGATTCTTCTAATTGCCCTCATACCTTTTCGGATGGATGTGATGATTTTGATGATAATGTGAATGATTATGTGAATTATGTGTCCTATAACAACAATGGTTCAAGGTTTGATAATCAAAGAAGCCAAGGGAATAGGAACTATCACAACCAAGGCAATTTTGACAACTATAACCAAGGTGGTGGCTATAGGAACTAAGGAAACCAAGGTTTCCGGGGTAACTATAACAACCAAGGTTATAGTGGCCAAAATCAAGGCCAAGGTTATGGTTATCATAACCAAGGTCATGGTAACCATAATCAAATCTATGGCCAACATCAAAATAGGGGAAATTGGAACAATCAAAATAGGGGAAATTTTCAAAACAATGCTGAAAGGGGTCCCCCACCCGGTTTTGCTCCAAAGACCCAAGGCCAAGGTGATAATTCCTATGCTCAACCTTCTTTTTCTTCTTCTAGGTCCAATTTGGAAGAGATAATTGAAAATCAAACTAAGATTTTTAACAAATGCATGACGGTTAGTGATAAGAAATTCAATGAAATGATGACACGTAGCAAGATGCTTGAAACTCAAATCACTCAACTAGAAAACACTTTGAAAAAGAGTGCTAGTCCTACTTCTCTACCTTCTCAAGGGATTGAACTTAAGAAACCAGTTTATTCTATCAATACTAGGAGGGTAAGGTCCTTGAAGAGAGTGTTTCTAGGAAGAGCAAAGAGCAAAGAAGTTGAGAAGGTGAGTGATTCACCTGATGAGGATGAGCATGGTGAGTCTAACAAAAAGTGTGAGGATGCCGATGAGAAGGTAAAGATTGAAGAGAGTGTGCAAAAGGATGTGATCAAACCCAAACTTCCGTACCGTCAAAAGTTCTTGAGGAGCAAGATTGATGATCAATTTGGAAGATTTCTTAACATGCTTAAGGAAATTCATCTTTCTATCCCTTTCACCGATGCTTTGACACAAATGTAAAACTATTCTAATTTCCTTAAGGAAATCTTGAGTGGCAAAAGAGAGTGTAATGAGGTTGATTCGGTGAAGGTTGGGGAGTGTTGTAGTGCTCTTATCAATAATGAACTACCCCCAAAGATGAAAGATCCGGGAAATTTTCTCCATCCCTTGCAATATCAATGGAAAATTGTTCCAAAATGCTCTTTGTGACCTTGGTGCTAGTGTTAGCATCATGCCATATTTCGTCTTCAAGAAGCTTAAGATAGGTGAGCTCCTTCCAACCAACATGAGCCCACAATTGGCCGACCGTTCTATTAAGTTCCCCAAGGGTAAAATTTAGGATGTCCCCCTCAATATAGGAGAGTTCACTATCCCCGTTGATTTCATTGTGCTAGAGATTGCGGAAGATGACAACGTTCCTATCATTCTAGGGAGACCATTCTTAGAAACTCAGGGTGCTTTGATTGATGTGAAGGGTGGCCTTATTACTTTATGTGTTGGTAATGATAAGGCAAGTTTTAAACTCAAGTCGATGCATGAGTCTCTATCCTATGTGCAAGAAATTGTGTGCATTAACTCATTTCCATTAAATGATGATGCTTGCATGATTGTGTCTTCTACTAATAATATGCTTGTAGCTTGTGATGATTCTCCTAAATGTGTTGAAAGAAAGATTGTTAGTGATGAAGACAAGGAGTCTTCAAAGCTTGAGAATGAGTTTGAAATGCCTTCTTGGTTTGAGCTTTCTTTGAAGGAAGACGAAAATAGTTTTTCAAGTGTTGGTCATGTGGAGCTCAAAAATCCAAGGAAGAAGAAGTCAAAGAAGAGAAAGAAAGTTCCCAAGAAAAATAAAGAGAAGTTGAAGCATAACAAGTTTGATCCGGTTTTTGTGATTCAAAATGATATATCTCATGATGTGATTTTGCCCAAGCTTAGCAATGACTTTACCCTCTCCACCACTTTGAACAAGGTGGTCTTCTTTGATCCTTCGTGATTTGGAGGGAGGGTCAAGCTAGGGACCTTAAACTAGAGCTTTTCGGGAGGCAACCCGGCCCTCTAACTTTTCTCTTTTCATTTTAATTTTCATTTCTTTTTTCT